CAATGGGATGAATATGATACTCTCAAGAAATCTCTTAAGAAGGAAAAAAAAAATAGTAACACAGGGAAAATAAAGCTGGAAAGAGACACCTAGTTAGAGGAAATAACACTCAAGGTTACCAATAGAGAAATATACATTACAATATAGTGCTACCACATAAGGCTTTTTCCTACAAAGACCAAAAGTACCTAAAGAACAGGAAGGGAATTCCTCATTCCAAATAGCCTATGTTTAAGAGAACATAGAAAAAATTATATAAGTTGTCCAAAGGAGAAAAGAGTCATTTCCACAGCAGGAAAATGTGTATACATTTGTCAGCTAACTAAGCAGAAATGTTCCACTTAGACTACACCATTCAGGTAGAGTGAAAAATGGTGTGTGCTGAATGGCCAATGTTTAAAACAGTACCTCTACTATGTGACTGCTGGGTGAATGTTTCTTTCATATACAGTACAACATTTTTATTGTACCCAATTTACTATACTATAGCAATGTTAACATGATTTTTATCACAGTCTAGATTGGCTTTTTATATGAAGATTAATCTTTGAAAACTCATGACAACTACTTATTATATTATGCTCTGATATCTAAATATCAAAGATATTTCCCAGCAGATTTAGATTATATAAACTCCAAATATGGCAAAATGAGTGAATCCAACCACTTTCCTAAATCGATCAACTTTTGGTAGAAACACAGATACACTTAATAGATTTTGCCCAACTGTAGGCAGTGAGACATAATCAATCAAACCCTAACAAGTGCTTACAGAAGACTAAACAAGGAGGTGGAGTAATACAACCAAGAATAGTACCCCTTTCATCCTTTTTGTTTCTCAGTTGTATTCATTCATTCATAGACCAAATATATATTGAGCATCCATTATTTGGCAGGTACTAAGTATACAGCAGTGAACAAGACAACTAGTGAAATATAGGTGGTGGTGGTGATGATGATCATGATGATGATGATGATAACAAGCATCACATTAATTTAACAAAGTAGATTCTATTATTATTCCCATTTTGCAAATGAGAAAATTGAGACTAAGAAAATCAAGTACTTTGCCTTGGGTCACCCATACAGAAGTAGGGGAAAAAATAATTCCTGGACAAACTAACTACTCTTATGCTACCCCACCACTACCACCATAATAAAGACCGTAAATCATCAAACTCTGAGGTAGGCCACCCACAAACATTATCTCACTGGACCTTCAATAAAAATCTGGTGCAGTCAGTATTATTTAGTGACTAGCAATATCTCAATACTATGGTACTGAGAAAGTTAAAAACAAAATAAAAATGGTAGGATCAGAACAAGGGCAATAACCCCTTCTACTGCTCTGCCTCCCCTCAACCACACTTCCTTTTTAAACAGAAATCCTGCTTAAGAAGCAACTTGCTGGCACTAAGAGGCTAGAAATATTTTTATCTAGACAGTAATAAGGCCTAAAATTTGTCATCTCCCCTGCAGTTTCTACTTGGAGGAACAGAATCTAAGCCCACATATTTTGATCCCAATTCATCAGAGTCTATTACTTTTATAAACCTCTTTAAAATCTGCAAATACACCTACAGACACTGCATCCAAGTTAGGAGAAACCATAGCAGAAATTTTCAAGTCATCTTCTCTCTCAGTCATGGGCCAAACACCTGTGATTTAAAAACAAAAAAAATTAATCATAAAGTAAAACCTACTATATAGTTTTTCTTTAAAGTTTTATCTATACCACATATCAAAAAACAACGCCATAAACATATTCACAGCTGAAAAAATATATTACGGCATTAAATGCTTGATGTTAATTCTTTCCCTCTATAATATTGGAAAGAAAAATCGTCCCTTTGTCCAAAGATATTAGCTAAGATGTAAGCCATTGACTAACTAGTATTGGGAATTTCAAAGCCCTCTCCTTAACTATTAGTGGAGGCCCAAATTAGTACAACCCTTCTGAAGGTAAGTTGGATATAGCTATCAAAATGTAAAATGTACATATCCTGTGACTTAAATTCTACTCCCCAAAATTTATCCAATAGCCACACACATGCCCAATGAGGTTCTCTGCTGTTAGTAGTAATTTGTTAAAAAGTGAAAACACCCTAAATATCTATATATCCATTAATAGGAAAATAGTTAAATAAATTATGGTATATCTATACAATGCAATGGCCCAAAGCCACAAATAAGAGTGCTATCTTTATATACTGATATGAAAATAACTGCAAGATATATCTATTCATTAAAAAAAAAGCAAGATGAAGTACAATGTGTCTAATATGCACATATTTGGATAAAACAATTGCATAAACATGAATATTTTCTAGAAGAACACACAAAAACTCCTGATAAGAATTACCTTTAAGGACTAGAACCAGGATCTTGGCCTGAAGGGAGATTTACTTTTTATTGTTTACTATTTTAGTACTATTTGAATTATTTTCTACCATATTCATGTTATTTTTCACAATTTTAAACATGTCAGTTGGGCGTGGTGGCTCACACCTGTAATCCTAGCATTCTGGGAGGCTGAGGCCGGTGGATCGTTTGAGCTCAGAAGTTTGAGACCAGCCTGAGACCAGACCCTGTCTCTACTAAAAATAGAAAGAAATTAGCTGGACAACTAAAATACATATAAAAACAATTAGCTGGGTATGGTGGCACATGCCTGTAGTCCCAGCTACTCGGGAGGCTGAGGCAGGAGGATTGCTTGAGCCCAGGAGTTTGAGGTTGCTGTGAGCTAGGCTGGCACCACGGCACTCCAGCCTAGGCAACAGAGTGAGACTCTGTCTCAAAAAAAATAAATAAATAAATAAACATGCCTATATTGCATAAGGAGATACTATGAACAAGTGACAGAGATCCTAAATAAGAAACATAAAAAATATTTATGCACATATATTTGTGTGTGTATATATATACACATAAAAAGAGACGTGTGTGTGTGCATACAAATAGATTATCGGCTGCCCACTGAACATCCATTCTTTACTCCTCCCTCTTCGTAGCAGAGCCCTAATTTTGTTGAGGTATTCCCTTTACCTTAGACAAGGTCATCCCTCCCAGGCCCCAGGGTCAAATCCCATCATGGAGATTCTGTTCCACTGATCATTTGTTGTTTTAGGCATGAACATGGGACTTAATCCTGGCAGACGGGAGGTAAGCGAAGTTAAGAGGGGGTGTGCTGGCATGAGCTTCTGGGAAAGCTATTCCTCCCTAAGAAGAGGGGAGACTCAGGAGAAGTCTTTCTTCCCTGGAAATCATATCAGCACATAATGTCTAAGGTCATCCTGTGACCATGAGAGGAAACGTCCTCCACACACTGAGGATGGCTGACTGAAAATATAGAAAGCACGTGGATGATGCCACATGAATCAGCTATCTCACAATATTAAGAACTGCCTGTAATTGCCGTCAGGCATTCCGACCATACTGCAAGATTTGGAATGGGAATTTCCATAACTCTGTGAGAGTACAAAAGTCTGTTCATTACCCATCCAGTAACCTTCTTCGATTCTTCTTTACTTAAACCCCAATTTTAACCTAAGCAACAGAGTACTCAGCTAAAACATTTAATTTCCCAGCCTGTTTTGCAGCTTGGAATGGCTAGTGAGATTTAAGTACGAGCTATTCAGGGTGTGGCTTCCAGGAAAGCTCCTTATGGGGGCTGAGTCAGCCGCAGATGTGAGGGCAGGAGTTCCAAAAGCCATCCTGGACTAATGGATGACCCTGGAATAGAAGGAATCGAAGTCCCTGATGACTGTGGAACTGCCAAGCCAGCCCTGGACTGCCCATCGCTCGGCTTCTTTCACAAGAGAAAGAAATAAACCTCTACCTTGTTTAAGCCACCTTATTTGGATATTCTGTTATATGCAGCCAGGCATAACCCTCAATGAAAAAGCTCACCCACTACAAATATTTCTAGAACTTAGTGGTATCGTCAACTT